TCTTTCTCGGTGACAGTGGTGACACGGATAACTCCACCAGAAGATCCATCACGGGCCATAGCATGAGCCACCGCGTTAGCCACGAAGTCTCAGCTCCCCCGTGCTCATATCAGGGCGATACAAATGATCAACCAACCCCGTAATGTAAGTCGATCTGACAAAAGACCCTAAGCATTCTTCGGAGCTCGCAAGAGTTACCATTACCCAGAACCACCAGTGGCGATGTTTTGCTTGATAATAGTACCACCCAGAGGTATCGAATAAACCTGTAAGCAGTATGGGAATATATCCACATGGCTAACTACATATGTTAGTAAGAATATAAAAACTATGGGGAAACTTTGCGAAATTACCGTTGGTTTTTGTACACTTTACCCATAATCCTTGGCGGATTTTTCATAATGTAGTGAGAGAACTTACGAGCTCAGTTGAGGAAGCTAAACATACATCCCCACACCGCCCGTAAGCGGTGGCGTTTAAGATCAGATAAGTGACTACCTGAGGCCCCTCAGTCTGGTCCCATCCAGCCACAATAAGGCCAGCTGTGAGATACTGTTTATTGTTGTACGCTAGCAATCTACATACCGCAAATTCAACAACACATCGTTAGGATGGTAGTGGTACTCACCTCATCAGATTAGCAGCTGTCTTAACCTTGGGCAGACGGTCCAGAGGGAGATCATTAGCATGCGCATTGAGGAAGTACTTGACCTTCGAGCTTAGGAACTAACATTAACGATCAAACATCGCAGAAATGCTACCAAAGTGAACTGAGCTCACCTGAGTATCAGCAGCCGAGCCACTACGGCATACGAATATCCTATCGTGAAGACGAGTCACCTTACGACTCACTCTATTAGCAACATAACCACCTAATTATCACAGACATCATAACTGTCATGCCTCCAACTCTCCCAGTACTACCAGTGCTAGTCCTAGAGTCCGCTCCCAATACCACTCCATCCTTAAATTTCATGGCCATAATGGTAGTACCTGTATGGACGCTTTACATCAGCGGATTGGCAGTGGATCCACCAGCGTACCCGTCTGGATGCCCTTAGCTGGGCCGTTATCCGAGTACCCCATATACTGCATCAAATCATCGATCTCATCATCCTTTTGTTGCTCAACCACCCCAGCGACACTACCAACAATAGTACGAGGAACCAATCTTTGCTATCAGTACCTCATATCCCCAACATGCTGTTGTTTAGCAAACTGTCGCTCAGCAATGAACGTGGCCATAGTAATAGAAAAAACAACAACAACGAGATCGTCACTGCATCATCATCCTTATGTCTCATACACTCGAACACTACTCTACTACTCTAACCTCAACTCGACCAAACAGAGCCAGCAGAATAGCCTCGACATTTCCGTGACTCCAATGATCACGCCACTTCCCTTTCGGTAAAGTATCCCACTACTACATCAAACTCCAAGCCACTAGGACAGTGATCTACACCCTAGATGGATCATTGGACAACTGGCATGCATGTTAAAGAGCTGCTCACCTCAACACCGTTATACGTAATACTCAGAGCCCACTGGCAAGGAAAT